ATTGTAAGATCAGAGATTTTATCATGAAATGAAGAAGATTCCACAGCCCCTGATTAGATCTTAATGATGAAAATCTTGTGATATTCTATAAGCGGTCTCTCTTATCTGTTCAAGCATTGCTTGCAGTTGAGACTTCACATTAGCGGATCCAGGAATTGGAAATAGAGATTGGAACAGGGGGAGAGGGGGCCAGGGAGAGATTTTTACAGGTGCAGCATCTAGACCACCTCAGCCCTACCATGGTTGGGGCTGCATATAAGAAAATTTATGATCATAGCCCATGTAGATGGCCGTAAATGGCAGACTTAAATTTGAACATAATTTTTCTCTTTTTCTCTATTTTGTATCTGCCACCTGCCACTGCTGGTGGAGGGATAACTGTTAGTATTGTGCCTTGTCCTAGTACACAAGCAAAATGCATAAAGAGTGTTCAAACCGTGACCTCAAGGTTAAGAGATCCAATGGCAGTCAGTGTGCCAACCATTCTGAAAACATTGATGGTGAACAATGTAGGACAAAACCCTGGCAGTTTGCTATTTTTTTTACATGGATTAAAAAAAAATTATATTTCATCACTTTATTATCTCAGAGTACTGTAGACCAGACATACATTTTTTCGGCATATTGTAAATGTTGAAATTTATAATACATTTTAAGGCCAAGTAAAAAAAAAAAGCAGTTTCTCGTACTAATATTTTGAAAGAAGGAGAATAAGGACAATTTTTTTTTTTTTAACTCTGAGATAGCAAATCCAAGATGGTAGATGGGAAACAGCTCTACTATTTCTCACTTTTCCCAAGTGCGGTAGATATTTTGAAAGCAAATTGAAGAAGCACTAGACATGATTCATACCATATGATGAGAGTTAGCCAGTTTCATACTTTTCGTAAAATAAAGGACATAAAAAAAAATAAAAGCTTTGTGGTGATGGAGAGAAAATGATGCGCGAGGGACCAGAAACTAGTAATTTTTTATATTTGGCCTTAAGGCTAGTGTTTAATTTGGTTGTCATCATCGGGAGTTTAAGTTTAGTTAGAGTGTCCCCAATGGGAAATAGGTAATTATTAATACAACTAACGAGCAATACTTCATTTAATGAGAAAAACATTTTTACTTTTGATGTCTGCAATATTATTTTGGAGCTTTTGTACAGTACTTGAACAAAAGAAAAACAATGAGAGGCAGAAAATTTTATATGGAAAATAAGATTTTTGAATAATTAAAAACTGGAGGTGGGGGGGGGGGAAGGGGCCTAACCGCCCATTTTTACACCTTTTTCCTCCAGTTATATATTCAAAGATCCATATCTCATTCATCGTTGCTCAGTTTTTGATCTGACTTAAACAAATTTAGAGTTTTATTTGTACGAGGAGGAGGAGCCCAAAACACTTAGATATGAATTTTAAAAGGCCAGTGTTTCAGCTTCAAGTTGGTATCTTAAACCATGGAGGTCTTTTAGCATACTAGGCCTACTTATTATATAATACTGTACTGTTCAAGATACAAGATACATGTCAACTTTATTGTCAAAATAATAAATTCTGAGATATTTGTTGTACATGACATAGAATAGTTCATAAACATATAGAGTGTTAAATAAAGATTTCTTAGAAAATAAAAATTTGAGTCCTGTGCAGTTATCTTCTGAAATTTTGATTAAATAGATTACAAGCGATGTACAATGCTGAATTTTTAAAACGGTTTGTGGATATTTTGTTTTGTTTATGTCTAACCC